AAGTTTTTACCTCTCTGTTCAGGTCAAGCACAATGTTAATTGTGGTGAGGACCTTTTCCCAAGAAGAATAAAAGTGTGTATTTGTATTGCTACTGAAGCAATATGAAACAAATAAGGAGACAGCATAAAGATAGGGAAGGTGGACAGAAAGAACTATGAGGGAACTGAAAATTGGAACCGAAACTTTCACAAAAGGAATTTAAACAAGAGCTAACACAGCTGGCAACCACAAAAGGAATTAGGAGACAAATACTGGACACTTTTGCAAATAAGAATTGAATTTAAGTAACATCTGGAAGCTTTCAGAAAGGATTCAGAGATGGAAGTTAGAAATAAATCTTGGTTCAGGCAGACCAAAAAGCCCGAAGACACAGCTTGTAGACTGTGGGAATTGCAAGGACTAGCAAGATTAACACATGAGGTGACTAGCAACCTGACTGCCGCAAACCAGAAGGTGCTTCACAAAAGAGAGACCTCTTCTCAGGCTAAAGCTCCTTATACATTGCAGCATGAATACTAAAAAGAGTTTTAAAAGATCATGCCTAGAAGAAAACCTGACTAGCAGGCCACAAAGACAATTGTTTTTTGGGTAAGCAGAAGACATGGATCAGAGGGCTTGTTATCCTGCTTATAATTCACTGAGGCCAGGGTAATACAACTACCATAATGAAAATGTCCACTAGAAATGCATCTAAAAACATTTTCTGAGAAAATTCTAGTAATCATTTCTGTGGTCCAGCTCTCAGGGTGCTGCAGAATTTAGGCTGTGGAAAGAAATCTAAATTGTACAGCTCTGGTATCATCCCAAATAGGCACGATGAACCAAGCCGCAATAGCTTTACAGCTGTTAGTTAAAAGAAGAGAAATGGAAGAAATCCCAACTGAAATGGAAGTGGTTTTGTAGACGTGCTTTACAGGCACACACAGATGCTGGTGATGAATCTAAAATAAGCTGGCAGTAGACTTGCTTTAAGCACTAAGTTGGTGTTATATGTTGGACTCTCGGCTCACTATCAACATTGTTGAGAGTAAGGGCCATGGAATTTACCACTGAGCTTCATTCTTGCCTCAAAGAACCAAAAGATGAACCTGCTACTAATCAGGAAGATAGGAGGTGATTGCCATAAAGCTTAGAAATATAGCTGTGGATTTAATACGTGCAAGTGATCCCAATCTAGCTCATGACATTATGAAAGATTAAAAAGGTGATAGTTTTCTTTTATAAGRGAAGGGAAAATACCAACACTGTGGCAACTAAGGCATGCAGTACAATTAAATACTGACATGCATTAAAGAACGTAACGAGGAAAGGATTGTTGTAGGCTGGCCAAAGCATGCAACTTCGATTAATTTTTATGAGTCTTTCTCCAATGACAGAAAGTAAGTAAATAATTTTAAAGATCTGAGGAAGCCCCCAACAGACATGCTCCCCAGCAAGTCCCCTTAGAAACTGATAGCAAATGCTTGGCTTTTGAGTGTGGAATAACTTCTGTGAAGTTCATGGGACTTATTAAACTAGACATACTAAAAGGCCAGGGAATAGTGAATCTAATACTCTGTCACCTAATTTGGCAAAAATGGAGACAATGACTGCGAAAGGTGAGCTCATCCAAGAACTGAAAAATTGAAATTTRAGCAAGAAGTCTCAATAGCCAAGTTACCATATGAGCTAATAATTTGTTTGGATTTCATTATTGCTAATGATTGCCTAATAAAAGCCAGAAACTATGTCTTAGAAAATCATCCTTTCGAAACCCCCTTTCTAAAAGTGGCTCAAGTCTGCAGATGGCAGGATGGCAAGATACAGGTTTTACATATTCTTCAAGAGGTCAAAATGTTAACAGTGTTTTGCATTCCCACTCGATGTAAGGAAATATAAATGCCAGAAACCCTCTTCATGCTTATTTTTGCTATTATTGTAGCAGAAATTACTTGATGCTCATCTTTAAATGTTTCTGATAAGAAGGAAACAACACAATGGAGAATCACAATTGCAAAATGTGAACAAGCAAATGTAGTAAATACCAATAGGAAAWGAATAGTAAGATGAAGTGACATGATTTCTTCTTAACTAGAGTTTCTTCTGAACTTCTTCCAATTTGTAAATCTAAATCATAAAACCAAAATGGCTCAAGAGAGTTTGTAGTTAGGAATAAGTTCTTAGAACCTTAGATATAGATTATATGATTACATAGGACCAAAACCCAGTGTTACTGATAAGAACAAACATAAAAACAGAAGATTGTGTTATATAGTGGGATAAAGCAACATAAGAGAATTTGTTTTCCTTAGCTATTGTTTTAAATGCCAAAAGTTTAACTTGATTTTCCACAATGGAGACTGGGCACTTGTGAAAATGGACTCAAAGTATCATTTTTATCAGAATATGAGGCTGATAAGAGGTTTTGGCAATTTCAGTTGGCTTGAGAAATTATTTCCCACTCCTAAAAGATTTATGGCTCCTTTATAWCTGTAACCTGTTTCTAGTGTTGGTGTTTGGAAAGCATGCTGAGCATGAATTGATATACATCCACATGTATGTATCATGTATCCACATGATTCAGGTCCAGGTTCCCATCCCACTCAGAAATTGGTAATCTGTGCTTACTTGCAGTGATGACCAACTGAAAATTTTTGCTGATTCTTCTTCAATGAGTGAATATATTGCAAGTAACAGAGGCCCTAGAGACTTGTTCTGATTGAATTATGTTTTTTTTTTTTTTCATTTTTGTTAGATTTGGAGTCATAGTGAGATACAAATACAACAAGAAAATCTTGGAAAACCTGAGAAGTTGCGTCTAAACTATTGGTTGAGACATCACATTTTAAGCTCAGCCATTCCAAGGATGACCATGTACCTTCATGCCCCTGCACCATACTACCTTATTTCCATTGGAAGAAATCCTGGATGGGCTTGCCAGGAAGGAGTGGTGACATGACCCAATGGACGCTGGGTGAACAGTGGGGGATTAGAGCAGTTCTCCTGCCTTGAAGCTCAGACACAACCACTCTCTCTATATATGTATGTATATCTACATATATATATCTTCCAGCAACATGCAGAACTTGCACCACCCAGTTCATCCAGTATTTGATGATATCAGTAGTGAAAAGCTTTGCACTGTTTCAAAGGAAAAAAAATATAAGGAAAATCTGTGACTATGCTATGTGAATGGATATTTATGATGTTTTCCAACATGGGATTTTTTTGTCTGGGAAAGCCAGACAAAAAGAAGTGTTTGGCTTCCTTAAAATAAATAGATGTTTTATACTTATTTCATTTTATCACAGAATCACAGAATGGTTGAGGTTGGAAGGAACCTCTAGAGATCATCTAGTCCAACCCCCTGCTCCAGCAGGGACACCCRGAGCATGGGGCACARGGCRACATCCAGGCGGGTTTGGARACCTCCAGAGAAGGAGRCTCCACAGCCTCCCTGGGCAGCCTGTGCCAGGGCTCTGTCACYCTCACAGGRAAGAAGTTCTTCCTCACATGGAGATAGAACTGCCTGGGTTTCAACTTATACCCATTGCCCCTTGTCTTGTCATTAGCCACCACCAAGAAGAGTTTGACCTAGTGTTCTTTATGTTCTCCCCTCAGGTATTTATACACCTTAATAAGATCCCTTCTCAATCTTCTCCAGGCTAAACTGACCTAGCTCACTTAGTCTTTCCTCATATGATAGACATTCAAGTCCCTTAATCATCTTTGTTGCTCTGCACTGGACCCTGCCTAGAAGCTCCACGTCCCTCTTGTACTGAGGAGCCCAGAACTGCACACAAAAATTTATTTCATCAAAAATCAAGTAAAAACGTTTTGAAATTTCCTGCTAAAATAAAACTGTAAAAGGAACCTGATTTTTCTATAAAAAGTTTCCAAACCTTATCAATATACTCAAAAATATGTATTTGTAATTCTAATCTTATTTTACTCCACACATTTTATGAAACAGATTACAGCATCTGGTTATGCATAACAGCATGGATTGAAGGACTCAAAAGTTTAGCTTTATTCCATCATTTATCTTATCAGATAATGTTAAAAAAAAAAAAAAAAAAGTTGAAAGGAAAGGATCAAAAAAATCCAAGATGACATTTCAGTTTATTGACCTGATACTCCTTTTCTTTTTTTTTTTGATGAAACGACCAGATTCAAAAAGAACTTTTCCCTATAGAAAATTTTACTGAACTGAACTGTCTTTTTTTTTTTTTTTAATCACATTTTATATGTTCTTTCATATGGTGCTTTTTAAAAACTGTGGTGAAAATGATTTTCCTTTCTCAGAATGATAACATAGTTCTATAAACTGCGTTGGGAATGTCACTATAGAATTCACAGAAATCAAGGCCTCATGGACTAGAGGAAAGAAGCTTCATCAGGAAGTTTGAAAGGAATTAGACAGGGAAGAAAATACTTAGAAGTTATTTATATTGGAGTATGTCTGTTTTCTTTTTTTAACTCGGAAAGGGAAAACAGCCTGCTAAAATCATGCCATCTGTAATTTTGTAAGTTATTTATTTTCTTCTCTTCCTATTTGAAGTATCATCATTTCCAGTACATTGGATTGATTGGCAGAGGCAATGTGTGGCTTGGGATAAACCCCAGTAAAACTACACATTCATTTCTGAGAAACTCCAAATTTTAAAGGAGTTCCCTTTAGCTGAAAACATCCATACATGAGAACAGCATCAGATACTTATTACTCCTCAATAACAAGCCAAAACTTCCAAGGCACAGACAGTAACAATCTTTACRGTATATGCCTGGGTATAGCCTGAGTGCAATCTCATTAATGAATTCAAAAGCATCTCTAAGTCATAAGGAAAAATACACAGCTAAGTACAAAGAGTATAATTATTTTATATAGTACCAATAATGAAAAAAGGTAGCTCATAAAAGAGTGTAGGACTACTTCATACTGCTACAGGCAGAACTAGCAGCTGAACTACATGAAAGACAGTACTTTAATTATAGTGCCATACCACATTTTTCACCTTACCATTTTATAGTCCTTCCAGCCTTTTTGGAAATCCAGACTTCCATCTTCTCGGTGTTGTATAACTGTCCACCCTCCTCCTGCAATTTCCATATTGCAAAAGACCTATATAGTAATGTTAAGAAACAAATAAACAAAAAAAAATTTGCTTGCATTAGAATTCTGTCACTATACAGTCAGAAAGAGGGGGAAAAAAGGGCATCTGTGTCACCTTAGAGACAGAGAGAGTGCTAAAAAAGGGTATTCATGAATAACAGAATTAAAGAACTTTGCTCTTCATATGGACTCACGCCTATGTTCCCGATGGTATTCTTAATCCCTTATTTCAGTAGTCTCTTACTTTCAGTAGTATTTTGTAGAGCAGAGTATCATTTGAAGAAAGAATTCTTAGGAATTCTTACAGAAAATAGTAACTCTTGAAATCTCAAATGCAGCACAGATACAATTATTCAATTATTATTTTGCTCTGTATTGTAATGTTGCTTATTGTGAGTCAGGCAGTACCAAAAACCTGGGCAACCTATCTTGATTTAATCTGCTTTACAGCTGAAAAAAGATAAAAGCATAGATAAGAGCAGGTTTAAGAACACAGGTTTTGTTTTCCAGATTCTTAGCTTCTTAACCTGGAAGATCTGTACTGAACCTGCAAGATCATGTCCTAATTGAAGCTTGATGTTAGACTACTGTGTCAACTGAAATCTATTAACAAATTTAAGTAATCTATACAACAATAAAAATAGATATTTTCATTTAGTTTTTACTTTTCTTTCATTTTTACATTTTCTTAAATTATTCTCCTTAAATTAGAAAAGACAAAATATAAAAGATTGTGAMATATTATTTATCTATTTTGAGGGGAATGTGGCAAGTGACAGTAATCGTAAGTGCTCCTACTTTTGCCTGATACTGGATTTCAAGACCTGATCAAGTTTCTTGCAGTCACCCAGGGAAGCAAATTTGCTTAATTTTCATTCTCCTATACTCATCTGTTCTATACCGCCGCTCAATTACCCTTTTATTTTAGAATGCTCTTGAAAAGCCATATCCCCCTTCTAAACTAAGATGACAGTTTATAAGAAGGTTGAAGAGGTGCCACCAATATACTTAGCCTTTCACATTCACATGAACAAGTGCAGAGCCAACCCATACAACAGTGGCTGACAATTTAAAGTTTCAAGTGGCTTCACCACATTGCAGGTCACAATTCAATTAAATTAAGATTCCTCTCTCAGTCGACTAGAGAGCCACTTTTCACCCTCAGGCAAAACAGTTCCAAATCTTTTCTGCTTATACCYGTTGTCATAGTAATCCTGTGCAAGTATTTCTGTTTTAATGTGCTCCAGGCACAATGAGTAAAGTCCCTGCATAGGTACAGGAAGGAAACAGAATACTGAATAGTGCAAACATGTGAACTTGATTTTGGGTAACCACAAGAAAACCCACAATTTGCTAGACAAACATTTTGGCCCTATTACTCCTTCAGGGAAGACACTGAGTCACAACATTTATCTACAGGATTTAATTTCTAAATTTCAGTGAGAATTTCTAAATGATGGATTCATTCAGTCTCCTCAAGCTTCCAGGAAACTACTGCCAAATTTTAATGCATTAAATCCTGAACTATATTAACAGTGCTAATATGAAAGATTCAAAAAATTTTTTTTTTGTACTGAAATATAATAAAATACCTATAAGAATATTTTCATGTTTTCTGAATGATATAGCAGATTACAAGAGAAAACCACACAGTGACAGAAAGATTAAGAGCACCACATTATTCACTAGCCATCACTGTGAGGTCTGGCACTGTCTGTGGCGGTAGACACAAACACCTGCTGGATAAAGAGCATTGCCAAGTTGATTATAGATGTTAGCTGTGCATGACTGTAGCCAACACATGTCCTGGACTGGCTTCTGTCCCAGACAAGGTCAAGGCATTGAGTTATTCAACACCTTTTAACATATTCTCATGTTTAATACTCTACCAAATGCTAAAAGGATGAAGAAAAGTAACTTTGAATTTTTATGCATCTCTAGATTCTATCATCAGTAAAAAGACTTGTTTTAGGTTTAGGAGACTTCTAAAGCATTGCACATTTGCTTTTCCTTGAATATAGAGAAAAAAAACATACTAAATAACATATATGGGATTATTTATGTATATTTTAACTGTAAGGTTTAGATTACTAAAAGTCTTATAAGACTCATAATTTACTTAAAAATAAGTAAAAAGAGGGTTATTACTATGTGTTGCATTTTAAGTGGTTGCTCACTAGCAATTAACATGTCTAATTGCYGGCCTGAAGCAATGAGCTCAAAGACAGGCAATTAAGACTGGTTGCAGGGTGACCAAAAGGACTCTTCTTCCCCCATTTTCTTCTCCTCCTCTTTGCTTCCAGTATGGCTTGGGCACCATCATTTATCAGCACTGTCGGTCAAGACACATGGACACACAAGCACACTCCAYAGCACCAAAATAAGCTGTTATACTTAGCTCAATATTTTCCTATCTTTCTCTTTTTCATTTCAAAAACACAGAATATTTCTAAGTTCCTTTCAAACAGAAATGAATCATTGATTTTTGGTGAAGTGCTGGAAGACACTTTAAGCTAATGAACTGCTGAAGACATGGAAATTAAGGAAAGATTTCAATCTAACTTTTTAAGTGCAGAGTAAATGGGAGGGTAGTTTTAAATATGCACATAATTAAGCATATACAGATGAGGCATACAAATGTCATGGAGTTATAAGCATAAAGATTATTCTCTATGAATACAGGAAGATATAAATGCCAAAAAGCTATATCTGACATTAACATGTGAACAGATGATCAAGGGATATTTCCTATTGAATCTCCAGATTCTCGGAGGCATCCCTCAGGAAACATAGCATGAAATGAAAATATTTTTGTGACCTAAAGTATAAAATTACCACAAACAAGAAAGTTGCCAGTGGCTGCAGGTATTACAGAAGGCAACAATCTATTAGGCCACTTAAGACTTGTTGGCTCGCATTGTGGTATTCCAGATAACTAGGCTGGCTTTAATCGAGCACATATGTCTCCCTGGAACACCTATCAAGGTACAGCATGGGTCCCAGATGCAATCTCAGTACGTCAGTGTGGTGCTACCTCTGGGCTAATTAGTCCCGGCATAGTGCTGTGCTGATGAGATTTTGAAGCTAGCTCAGCTGGAGTCAGTTCTGCTATCTCTGCACAGCAGTACCTTGAAGGCTGTTAATGCAGCCTTAATGTCTGGAAAAGAACATCTGTTAAAGCAATCAGAATCCTCACTTGACTAGCCTGAATGTGTGCAGGATCAGCCCTTGCTGCATTATCACTAGAGCAAGGCAGACATAGGTGCTTGCAGGAACACCCCCACCACATTTGCACACATTCTTTCATTTTCTTGCCAAAGTGGGAAGCAAAATAAAATAGATCCTATTGGAAAAAAAATATTGCAAGGATATTAGTTGGGCCGTTCTGTCTTTACTCATTAATAACGGTGTCTGCAAAAAGCGATATATCAGAAACACCACGTAGCTTCCATAAAGTCACTATCTTCACTTCCAGTGAATTGGCTTTTAGCTAAATGCACCAGAAAYAGCAGTGCTATAATGCTTTCAGATAATTATAGCTTTTCATTGCAACAATGCTTGTAGGGATGTAAGGAACTTTAATAAGGCTGAGATAATCCACTGCCAATTTGCATATGCAATCCAGACTGTAGAAGTACACCTGTGTTCTGCATTGAACAGCTCTTACAGCACTACTTCCAGACCTCGGGTCTTTTGCAATAAAGCTTATAAATAAAGTCTCTGATTACACTATAATCACATCAATTATTTGTCCACTCACTTTCATCAGAGTTGTATTGACCTTTGCTCATGTCATTCTCCCACTTCGATTCTAYTGAAAGTTTAAGGAACTCTAATTCCTTAGTCAACTAAAATGCCTTGATGTTTACAGTCTTCCAAAGGCCTTTAATTAAGCCAAATTAACTGTAGAAATAAATTTTATATATATTATTATTTCACAATACTGACTACAGAGGACAAAATTTTGTAGCATTTGTTATTGCCTCTTTCTGTTTGCAGGAACACAGTTTTACCACAGTAAGAATAAATTCACCAGAAAGATATCATTCCCTCTCTGCTATTTGGCCCGCTTGCTGGATTGGCACCCMAGTGCAGTTTCCTTTCCCAGATAGCAAGCCATGAGCCTTGTCAGGGGCTACTGCCTATAATGCTCTGTCAGAGAGAGCCTGCACTCCTCCACAGACAAATTAGGCTGAGGTTACTCTTTCACATCCCTTGCTACAACCAGCTCAGCAGTCTTAGCCCTTAAAGTCTTCCCAAACTATTTCTCTTTACAAAGTAATCCTTCTTTTTCATTAAAAAAAATCATCTCAGGGATCTTTCATGTTCTGCACCACCAACGAAACTTCTTCCTGCTCCCTGCAAGAAATGAGGCCTTTCTATATCTTCTGTATTTTTAAAATCTACTCATTCTGCTACTTTTACTTCTCTTTGTATCTGTTTATAATCTGTGTTATCAGATCATCAGATTTCCATTAAAGCATTTTACTGTTYTCTAAACTTTAACATAAACTCATTTCTGGCCATTGTCTGATTCAGCTGAACTTGCAGAGCAAGAGTATCTGGTAGAATTTAGGGAAAATTCCCCATCAATGTGAAAGATGGATGGAATTATACTCCGAACATAGTTTATCAATTGCTTCACTCTACTGTATTTTTTAAATTAAATATAACCCAGGTCATTTATACCAGTATACCATTTGCTGAATTAAAACTCCCATACAGATTTCAAGTGGTCCCTGAAGGTCAAGGCACTATCAGCTTCAACAAACAAGAAAAAACACAGCTATACACTTTACCTTTTTAGGATCTGACACATTGTTAATGTAAATAGTGTAGACTCCACTTTTGTTTAAACCAGATTGGTACACATCTGCACAGTCTCTGAATGTCTTTTCTTCCTCCTTTTTTGCATTCTTTAATAAAACTGCAAAACAGAAAAATAAGATAATGCAAGTTATAACAGCAACCTTAGCCAATACTATATTAAATAGGTCCACTTTTGCACAAGTTATTTCTTTGGAGCACATATAGTAATAATTGTACTTTGGTTCTTACACAATTAGTGCATTTGGCAAATTTTAACTATTAAAGAATGAATATGAACCCTTCAGTCAAATAGCATGGAAGGCACTGGTGACTCCTTACTTCTGTAAATGATGATGCAAATAGCTGAACAGAGCATCCTGCCTTGTGTGGCAGCCTACAAAAAAACTGAGCAAATGACTTTTGAGCCCTGGACAGCTGCAGGTGTCCTGCCTGTCTTAACAGAGTGATTCAATACCTGTGGGGAGGGAGGGAGGGAGGGAGGGAGGAAGGAAGGAAGGAAGGAAGGAAGGAAGG